CTACTCTAAAATACAGATTAATATCTTAAAAAGGGTATAAAAGGAATTTGTAAATTTGCATTTGCAATGTGGCTCTTAAAAGTAATCTCACACATTTTACTTTTTTTCATCTTGTAGCATGCACTAAATATCTAAACTTGATTCTGGTGAAAGGAAAGCAACAATGTAAACTATTTTTACTACAGTATCAACAGTATTTATCAACAGTATCAAGAATATTTACTACACCAAAATTTTTATTTTATTTCCTAAACTTACTTTGCCACTGAAGGAATAAAATATCGTATGACTATTTCTTCAGTTTTAAAATTATCTCCAATTGACTGGAAGACCAATTCTACAGCTACATGAAATTGCAAAATGGTTGCAAAACTTGAAGCAGCATGACTATATTCCTTTCTATTAATATTTAAATAACTAAACTTAGAGAAACTGCAAATATTTCATTCTGCCTTTACTAAATGGCACAATTCCAACTACAGGTCAACATCCAAATTAACAAATAAGATCAAAACAAAACCAACATAAATTTTAAACAAAGGGAATTTCAACCAAGCTGTCATGAAGAGTTCAGATTTCTACATCCCAATTAGTTGAAAAATTTCTTAACTATTTAGATTTTCTAAAATTTGTTACCCACCAGCAATACACCTACTGTTTTAATTTCTACCTGTGCTTTTATCTTAACTGTTATGCTTCTGGATCTTTCAACCATTAGAGATCAACCGTTAAATTACTTCAACAAGTAGAAATAGCAACACTGCTCCCAAACAGCAATTTCTGCATTGCTAGACACTTATCTAGTTGGCAGATTTATACCATTGTTCATTCTTAGTTCCTTAAACGTAAAAAAATACCCACAGAATGGTAGCATACCTCTAAATTAGTTTAAATATGCTACAAAGTTATTTTTAGTTAGGTTCAAGTTTTTTAAAGGCACTAATCGTTCTTCTGAAAGGCTAATCTACTCAAGTTCCTCCTATATTAGAAAAATAAAAAGCTGATTTGTCTCTTTTGGAAAGAAGGAATATTATTTAACATCAAGCAAAAAGCGTATTAGAATAATAGACCTGACATCAAATCAGGGTCAGGATCATACCTATTGTTAATAAATAAGTTTATATCTACTCTAATGATGGTTCTTTCAAACACTAGCATGGTTAAATGTCATTCATGTGCACTTTCAAATGTAATTCTTATTTTAAAAATACTCTTATGCTCTACTATGCAAAGTAAAAAGAAAACTCCCACAAGCGATTATAAATGAATTCTCATCCATGAAAAAAAATATAAGAAATGTCACATAACATTTATTTGAGATCTGTCCATTCCCTCCATGCATGCTAGAAAGATGCAAAGACAAACATTTCCAAATATTCAGACAGATCATTCCACAGTTGTAACTTTCATCATAGTTCTCAAAGCAGCATGGTGAGGTCAGCTCACAAACAGCTTAAGTAGCAAAACTAGAAATTGGTGGTAGTAGTATCAGGCTACATAACAGCCTCTCCAAAGAATATGAAGTAAGAGAACTAAAATGTGCTGGCAACATGCCAAAAGACTGGATGGAATATAGCTTTGAGCATGAAATACTCAGAGCTTACAGTATATAGCGATTCATCATCTCTCACCCTGTAGTTTGACTTTCCTTGTTTTAAACCAAAAATAGCCACGTATAAGAGGTATTTAACACCACCAAATCTCTCCACAGTTACAAGCTGAAAGACATCTGGACTTGCAATGATTTAACTAAATACATTCCCTAAAAAGAAAAATCTGATTTTCATTCTATGTGAAGATGAGGAAGGTAAAATAGATACAGTTATATTGATATTATTCTGCATAGAACAGCCTTTATTTTCCAAGGATTACACTACTCTCAGCATAATTCTAAAGGTCTGAGCTTTCTATATTGTCAGTTCTGACTGAATATCCCTGCAACTGGCTGGCATTGAGAATTAGTCAACCTCTTCAACAGATTCAATAAAGAATCTTGTCAGATCAAAGGACATAATTTTGGTCAGAAACAATTCTTTTGATCTTAGTCAAAATACGTTATTTTTATAATTTCATCTTGACTTAATCATATATTAAAACAGAATAATGAACTCTAATTCTTAAGTCTCTGACACTTTCTAAATACGCTTTTTCTAAAGAACCAAAAGAAAATGCAGTTATTTGTTATTTTAGGCAAGAGAAAGAATCAGATTAAGTTCAAATCAACACACATTTATTTAACACCTATTTTTGTGCCAGACATTATACTGAAAAAGGAGGAAACAAAGATAATATACGTATATGGTTTCACAGAGCTGACAATCTCGCTGAGGAAACTGACCCATTTAAAACACACCTACACACTCAACATGCTCTACTAGTTGTAGGAATAAAAACCCTGGTATCACCAAGGAAAGAGTAAATGAGTCTGTCCCAGGGACTGAAAAAATCTTCAGAGGCAAAGTAAGATTTTAGCTGTCTTGAAGGTTGAGAATTTCACAAGTGAAAGAGGGGCATTGCCAGCCAAGGACAGATGAGCAAAAGCAAAAAGGCACAAAAATATGGCATGTGTGAGGAAATCCTATGTGGTAAGGGTCAGGATAACAATTTCTGGTACATGTGCTACTACTCTTCTACCCCCACCCTATGACAGACGTCACTAATCAATTAAAGCATGTTTAAAGCTCATATGAGACCTCAAAATTCTTTTCACCAGGTAACACATAACCAGTGAAAGGAGGTAAGTCCATTAGATGAAATGTACATGCTATCCTGAGTCTGGAAAAAGAGAGTGGTGGAACCTGAGGCTAGAAGGGTAAATTAAGAGCAGATTATGAATAACCTAAAATGCTAGGCCAAGGAGTTTAGATTTTATCCTGTGTACAACAGAGGATGAACAAAGGATTTTATGAAGACTACTGATGGGACCACTTCTGGTAACATGTGAAGAATGGATTTGAATAGACAGAATGAAAGCAAGAAAAAATAACAGTTAAGATGCTATTGTATTAATAATAGTCCAGGTACAAACAATGAGGCCTTAATTTCAGCAACTGAAAAATCTACAGCAGATTCTAAAACAAAAATAGAGTTTGGGATTTTATAATCTGCGGTTTTAAAACAAAAATTTGAGGAAAATTTGTATTCTAATCAAAATTACCAAGTAATACTCAAAAAGGAAAAGAAAAGACAAATTAAGGTAAAGACTAGAATTAAAGAAGTGAATCACAATGATACCCAAAATTACTCAAGACTATAAATTCAGAAATAGATATTTCAGGTTTAGCATCAAGAAAGAGAACATCCTCATGACCAGACTAATACTCAGCAAGTCTTTTCTTCCTCTCAGGGCACTAATACTCTAGCCAAACAACAAACGCTATTCACCTTACATGCCCCTACGACACAGGGCCAAACCCACACTCCCAGTGAGATGCATAAAGCACAAAAGTCAAATTTAAAACCGAAGTTTGAAATCATGTAGGAGCCCAACTTTATCTAAACATTTAAAACTACACATTTCTTTTAAGAAATTCTTTGTGTGGAATACAACCTATCTGTAGCACTTTGGACAGTATGTAAAAAAAAAACAACTCTCTTATCACTTTTGCAGAATGTTTAATAAATGCAATTATTCTAATTAAAAATAAAAACTTCATTGTAGCTCAAAAGGCCAAAGATAGTGAAAGAGTTTTTCTATTTTAAAAGAGATTCTTTAACTGCTGCAAACAAAGGCTAGTGCAGTGATGTGAAATCCAAGTACATGTTAATAGGCATGCTAGAAAAGCCAGCATTACTGTTTTAAGACCTAACGATATTCACATTAAGGATAAAATTATCCTGTAGTGAATGCCAACAATGTACTTCATACTACATAGACACATACGCAAGGGTTCTACTTTGTTCTCATCCCAATTCTTTTGTGTCCCAGTAACAAACTCTCAAATTGGGTTTCTCATCCTTTTAAAACAAGCTAAAATGAAAAATATGAACTTGGAGATAAAATTAGTTATATTGTTCATTCTGAGAAAGCAAATCAGATGAACAGTTTACCATAATCTATCTCTTATCCAGAAAGATATAGTCAGTCATGAGCACAGTCTACTTCTCATGATGTCAGTCCAAAGCCATTATTAAATTTTACATGTTATGCTTCTTTCAAATCAATCACAAAACAAGTCATCCCAAGACTGAGGTCAAATTCCATTCTAACGAAAAGATCTCCAAATTTGAAGTAATGATCCACTTACTAAGTAATACTCAAAGATCAAATTTCAGAGAAACCTTCCTCCCATACCTCCCCCCACTTAAAAAAATCAGTCTTCACCTTTTAGCTCACTGTAATGGAATGTGACCTGTACTTAAGGGCTTTTCCATTCTTTTTTTTCTGCTCAGAGAATATGAAGCAGACCTATTCTCTCTCACAAGGATAACGTTTTTTAAAAGGAAAAAAGTGAAATGTAGGTGGTTAATTGTATAATAATTAACACAAAAAGTAAACAGGTTTACTAGATTTCTCACATATGGAGCTGTCCTCCTACCAGAATAATATATGACACTTAAAATGAGTGTATTTAAATGACAATTGAATCTTTATTTTTATTTTACAACACTGGTCAGACATCTAAAAGATTTATGATTTGTATCACCCCTAATAAATTAGGTAGGGAAGATGAGGTTAAAACTAAACCTACTTAAATAAATCTTCATACACAATACAAAATTATTATAAACATCCTCGCATAACAAATCATATTTTTATCATTGAAATTACACACTTGAGAGAAGGGAGAAGTATTTAAGAAACGTACTTCAAAGTCTAAAATTAAACATTTATATCTGAGGTTCACTTTCTCACTTTTAAAAAAAGAAGATATTTGACTAGATGATCTTTAAAATTATTTCTATGATACTTTAACTCAAGTTTTAAAATGAACAAATTCTGATTTAATTCAGACAAAAGATCTACCGAGATAATCTTATTAAGGATATATTTTACTTACATTCTTCCTACACCTTCATACATGTTAGTTTCATCTACCAAAGTCATAATCTCTGTATCTGTAAGATGTGCATGCTTTTTCGTTCTGTTTAGCTGTTCAATCTGTATGTCTGCAAGCTTCACCTTCTGCTGAGTGTCAATAACTTTGGCTTGAAGCTCTGTGAAGGCCTAATAAAAACAAGTCCATGATTTAGTAGGTAAAACATTTTACAGGAAACATTTAAGTCAAATCCAAATATCTTAAAACCAAACATGCTAACCAGAGACAAAGGTTGTGAAATTTACCAAAGCAAACATCGATAAGTCAATATAATTGTAAATGATCAAGTCACTATGCTAAATATTGAATCTCCTACGTCCTCAGAAGATGCAATCAATTTGAAGCAAAACGAATGCACATTAAATAAGAACCATATCAAGGCCGGGCGCGGTGGCTCACGCCTGTAATCCTAGCACTCTGGGAGGCCGAGGCGGGTGGATGGCTCAAGGTCAGGAGTTCGAGACCAGCCTGAGCAAGAGCGAGACCCCATCTCTACTAAAAATAGAAAGAAATTATTTGGACAACTAAAAATCTATATAGAAAAAAATTAGCCGGGCATGGTGGTGCATGGTGGCCCAGCTACTCGGGAGGCTGAGGCAGCAGGATTGCTTGAGCCCAGGAGTTTGAGGTTGCTGTGAGCTAGGATGACACCACGGCACTCTACTCCAGGCAACAGAGTGAGAGACTCTGTCTCAAAAAAAAAAAAAAAAAGAACCATATCAAGTAGCAAGTACTCAAGAAGTAATAAAAGCAATAAATGCAACAGTCAAGAGATGAAACCCAGAGATTTAAAACAAGAACCATAAAAGTATCAACTCACTACATTTGTATTACACTAGTTTTCAAAGCCCTTTCCCACATGAATTTGAAATATTAACATGGGAATATTAATATGAGAACATTAATGAGGGATATAATAATAAATATCTCATTTACTCCTCCCAGTAATCCTGAGTTAGGGATGGCAGTTTCATCATCCACAATTTACTATTATAATTAAGTAACTAAATGAGTTAAGAGATAAAAGTGGCTTACACAGGATTGAGCAACTATTAGGTGAAGTATTTTAATCCATTTCTTCTGACACCTTAGTTCAGAAATCTTTCCATTCTACTGCCCAGTAATATTCACAATAAAGTATTTTTTGGACAAAGACCAAAAGGGGAGGGAGAGGGGGGAGGGAGAGAGGGGGAGGGAGGGAAAAAAACACAGTTCTTAGATACTCTTGTTGAAGTGCCTGGAATGACTTTCACATGCTGTAGGAAATTTTGGGCACCTCTTCCTCAAAGTAAGGAGAGAGGAGAAGGGAGAGAGGAGAAGGGAGAGAGGAGAAGGGAGAGAGGAGAAGGGAGAGAGGAGAAGGGAGAGAGGAGAAGGGAGAGAGGAGAAGGGAGAGAGGAGGAGGGAGAGAGGGAGAAAAACAGTTCTTAGATACTCTTGTTGAAGTGCCTGGAATGACTTTCACATGCTGTCAAATTTATGCCTTAATAGGAACATTTGTGACTGTAATACATAACAAAGGCTACCATATAACTTTTATTCTGACTTTGTTCTCACCTACCAGTAAGGTTTCGAAAGATTTACTTTGAGGAAGAGGTGCCTGAAATTTCCTACTAGTTTCCACCCCAAAAAAAAGACCTTGTAAAGACATTAGAAGATAAAACCTTTAAACAAATTTCTTTTTTTATTTAATTCATTTGGTTGTCGAAACTATTCAAGCCTGTAATCATTTTCTTAGTTTGCATTCATTGTCCACTTGTTTCTTAGCAACAAATTCAAACAGTACTGGGAGGTAAGTCCTTCCACAGTTGTACTCTTGTTAGCTATCACTAAACCCTGACCTCGGTTTGAACTTTTAATAGAAAAAAGGTAAATTTTTAGAATGCACAATTTTGTTTTGAAATGTAAAATTCCAGGTATTATTTGATTGCTCTGTACAATTTGCTAAGGAGCAAGTATATTGTTAAAGCTAAGATACTGGGCCCGGCACGGTGGCTCACGCCTGTAATCCTAGCACTCTGGGAGGCAGAGGCGGGCGGATTGTTTGAGCTCAGGAGTTCGAGACTAGCCTAAGCAAGAGCGAGACCCCGTCTCTACCAAAAATAGAAAGAAATTAATTGGACAGCTAAAAATATATAGAAAAAAAAATTAGCCGGGCATGGTGGCGCATGCCTGTAGTCCCAGCTACTTGGGAGGCTGAGGCAGTAGGATTACTTGAGCCCAGGAGTCTGAGGTTGCTGTGAGCTAGGCTAACACCACAGCACTCACTCTAGCCTGGGCAACAAAGTGAGACTCTGTCTCAAAAAAAAAAAAAAAAAGCTAAGATATTACAGCATTAGCGAGCACCTCGTAAGGGCTAAATTTACCAATTCCAAGACAAGAATGACAAAGACACAAGACACAAACACATAATATTCTCAGGGTGATAGCAAATAGCTTCATTCATTATGAACAACTATTTCAGCTGTCCTGTTTCTCACGCACAGGTTCACAGGAGGCGGTCTTAAGATGCTGCTCACCTTAAGAACCTAAAGTAGTGGTCAAAAAAGTGTGAAGACAGAGCATATCGGATTCCTCTGACTGAGTCTTTTCTGGAACTGTTTCCTTTTCTAGAGAAGTATTATAGATTTAAACTAGATGAAATCTAGGATCCTTTCCAATCTGCCCCACGCCATCCCCCAAAGCATATGGTTTTGGGTTATTAGTGGTGTTAGGATCATGATCATTCTCAGGTGGGAAAAATCCTTCTGAGTAACAACACATTTATAAGCAACTGTCTGAACAAGGAGAAATTCAACTCCATCTGATATCAATTTTATTTGGAAAACTTTACAGGACTTTCTTTTCACAAGCGTTCCAAAAAGGGAGGAACAGTGGGCCAAAGCCCTGAAATAACATTGCTGTAACAATAGACGTCTGACTTTCTAAACTGTAGATACCGAGAACGTTCAAAGTATGGGAGAGAATAAATAGCCGAAAAACAAAGGCTGGACTTGGAGTTTTCCAAAGCAAATGAGGAGGCAGAATAACATGCCTCAGCTCAGGCAAGGGGTCCGAAGAGGCTTCAGTTTGAAACGCTCTCTTCAGTTCTTACTATGAAACTGAGTCCCTGAAGGCTCCAAAAGCAATGAAATGGCTCTGGAGCTCAGAATGAGTGGACAGACCCGCAGACTTACCCGACCCAGCCCAAACGGCTCCTATTCAGCAAGAGCCGCTCGCCCCGCAACCCCTGCTTAAGGAGGCCTGGTCTGGCTTTAGGACTCTGGGAAGCCATTCTCTCGTCCCTTGGAGCCCCTTTCTTTCCGCAAGACTCGAGCCTCACTCGATACTCTTTTCCACACTCCCCTAGACCGCCAAAGAGAAGCCTCTGCCTGCTCGAGACCCTCTTTTACCTTTTTCAACTCCAGATCCACGGGGGCCGCCATCTTGATGCACTCTACACGCCTGCGCGGTGGGAGAGGGCCTGAAAGAGGTGGGGGAAGGGCGCGCCGCGGTTTGAGCGCCGGCCTTTCTTCTGCGCCTGCGCATGAGTTGTAGTACCCTGGCTTCGCTCCCCTTCCTCTCGCAGGTCATCTTTGAAATATTCGGGTTTCAAATTCAATCCGTCTTCCCCATGTGACGGATCAGGTCTAGCTTGCTCCTCCACATCTTCCAGAGACGGCCCAATGCTCAGATTTCGTATGTGCCTTTTTTTTTTTTTTTTTTTTTTTTTGAGACATAGTCTCACTGTTTGGCCCGGGCTAGAGTGAGTGCCCTGGCGTCAGCCTAGCTCAGAGCAACCTCACACTCCTGGGCTCAAGCAATCCTTCTGCCTCAGCCTCCCAAGTAGCTGGGACTACAGGCATGCGCCACCATGCCCGGCCAATTTTTTCTATATATTTTTAGTTGTCTGATTAATTTCTTTCTATTTTTAGTAGAGACGGGGTCTCGCTCTTGGTCAGGCTGGTGCCGAACTCTTGAGCTCAAACAATCCGCCCGCCTCGGCCTCCTAGAGTGCTAGGATTACAGGCGTGAGCTACGGTGCCCGGTGCCCGGCCGGCCCTATGTGGCTTTTAAGTAATTTGACAAATAACTTAGTTTGTGCTGCTAAATTGAGATGTATGTAAATGAGGTCAAACCCTTATTAAGTCCTTCACCTAGTCCCGTTCTGTCTGGGGTGAGCGAGAACAGGTCCGGAACCTCAGGCTTGCCAATATGGAGAGAACCATTAGAATATTTGTTTGTAGTGCTCTTCCCAAGAAGAACTTAATTTTACTGCATGTTGCCCGAAGACCTGGACACAAGAGGTCAAATAATTTTGTTTAAAAAGAGCAAACAAACAGGTTCTCCAGGTTTCATCCCAAACCTTCTTACTTAGAATATTTGAGAATGGGGCCTGAAAATTTGCACTTTTGCGCACTTCCCCAGTGACCTGATGATGCAAGTTTCCTGTGGACCACATTTTGAGAATCTCGGCTGTAAAAGGACCTGGCATTTGAATCAGAAGGATAGATAATAACTGATTTTTGGAATTGGAAAAAACTGGATGTTTTACCTACTCTAAGAACTGTTAGGTAAAAGGGCAGGGAATTTGGAACCAGAAAGATCTGGATTCAAGGTTTGGTCTACCTTCAGCCTAGATATGGTTTCACTTACAAGCTGTGTGGCTTTGAGCAAGTCACTTATTCTTTTATTTATTTATTTTACTTTTTTTTAACTTCACTTCCCCTTGGCAGAGTAACCTAACGTATTCACAGGCTCCGGGGATCAGGACATGGAACTTGAATTCTTGATGAACTTCAATCACCTCATGTTTAATATGAGAATGACAATATTGTCCTAACGGGGTTATTGTCAGGAATAAATGAAATCAGGATGAAAAGCTCTAAGCAAACAGTCGGTACTCAATAAACAGTTAAGTTGATATAGTTAGCATTGTCCTGTTTGTCTTTCAAAGTCCAGCAAATGGGGATCACATCCCCCATCACGAGTGTCAAAGATAATCTCTCCTCTGAACTCCCCTCAAGACCTCTGCTCCTCTGTCAAGGTACATAACACTTTCTACCTTTTCTTTCTTCTTCTTTTTTTTTTTTTAACATTTTCTTATTAGACTGTAAGCTCCTTGAAATCAAGTACTATGGAATAATGTTTCTCCCACCACTTATACCCAGAACACCTATCACAGTGCCTCACAGGGAAAGAATACAAAATAAATACCGGATGTGAATAAATTATTCAGAAAAAAAAAAAAACATTACTCTTCCATAATTTGAGAAAGGAAAAAAAAGGGTCTGATCCATGACTTCAGATTATCAGGGACCTTCTTAGAACTTCTTTATAGATGATCAATATATAGTGACTAAATACTGAAATTTGAAGAAAGCCTCAGATACTTTCCTGTATATAATATTACTGTATATAGAAACAGTACTCAGAGATGTATGGACTGTAAAAGTTAAGAGCATGGGCTAAGTGTCAGACAGCCAGAGTTCAAGTACTGACTATACTAGTTAAAAGCAGTATGATCTTAGGCAAGCGCCTTCTCTCCATTTTTTGGTCATCATTTCTCCTTGTATAGTATTCCTTCTCCTGATTTTAATTTCCTTCTTGACAAAGGAAATCCTTCAGTAGGTTCTTTCAGTAAGAGTCTCTGAGAAATCAATTATCTTAAGTCTTTGCGTTATGAGTTTAATTTTGCCCCCCACAAAAAAGGTGTTCTGAAGCCTAACCCCCAGTATCTCAGAATGTGCCCCTATTTGAAAATAGGGTTTTTATAGAGGTAATCAAGTTAAATGAGGTCATTACAACAGTCTCTAATCCATTATGCCTGATGTCTTTATATAATAAAAAAAGGGAAATTTGGACCCGGAGACAGTTACACACAGAGGGAGGACTATGTGAAGAAACATATGGAGAAAACCATGTGAAGATTCAAGTTATGCTTCCACAGCTAAGGAGCATCTGGGGCTAACAGAGACTGGAAGAGGCAAGGAAGGATTCTTCCCCTATAGGTTTCAGAGGAAGCATGACCCTGCTAACACCTTGATTTTGCATTTCTAGCCTCCAAAACTGAGACAATGAATTTGTGTTGTTTTAAACCACCCAATTTAGGCCAGGCCCGGTGGCTCATGCCTGTAATCCTAACTCTTGGGGAGGCCAAGGCAGGAGGATCACTTGAGGCCAGGAGTTCAAGACCAGCCTGAGCAACATAGTGAGACCCCAGCCCTACAAAAAAAAGGCAAAAAAATTAGCTGGGGGTGGTGATGTATGCCTGTTAGAAGCCGAGGCAGAAGGATCCTTTGAGCCCAAGAGTTTGAGGCTCCAGACTGGACGGCAGAGTGAGACTCTATCTCAAAAAAAAAAAAAAAGTGTGCTGAAGCATGCACATCTCTCAACCTCTGCTTTACACTTATCATCTTTCCATTTCCCTGTGCCAAACCCTGGATTTCTACAACTCTCTCCGCTCTAGTTTGCTGCTTAAGCCATCCGTTGGTTTTTTATTTCAATAACTATAATTTTTAATTCTTAAAATTCTATTTGGTCATTTTCCAAATCCATCTGCTCTTTTCATCATCATAGCTCACAGCAACCTCAAACTCCTGGGCTCAAGCCATCCTCCTGCCTCAGCCTCCTGAGTAGCTGGGACTGCAGGCATGCTGCTCTCCAACTCCTGACCTCAAGTAATCCTCCCACCTTCGCCTCTCAGAGCGCTAGGATTACAGGCACAAGCCACCATGCCTGGCTCAGCTTTTATCTTAATTCTTGACACCACATGAGTGAAGCAAATTTGGGGAAAAATAAAACTTGACCTGAGCATAAAGTTATCAGTATGTGATATGCATTTATGAACTGGAAGCCACTGCAGTACGTTTCTATATCTCCCTTTCGTTTGGGCCTCTAAAGTAAATAAGTTATTTCCTTTCTCACTGTGGAACTTCCAGAAATGACAAGAAGAGTCTGTGTCTGAAAGCTCTGAAGAATATGCAGTACTTGGCCACTTGCCCAAAGAATAATCACGCTTCTTTTTTTTTTTTTAAGAGACAGCGTCTCACTCTGTCACCCAGGCTGGAAAGCAATGGCTTGATCATAGCTCACTGCAGCCTTGAACTCCTGGGCTCAAGTAATCCTCCCACCCCAGCCTTCCCAGTAGCTGGGATTACAGGCACACACCATCGTGCCCAGTGCTTCTATTATTTTTATTATAAAAACAGACTTTGTTGCATGGATGGTGTTGATTAAATAAATAAATAAATAGACTTTACACTCATGTCTTTACTAGTACAAGGATATACTCCTTCTGAGGCTCAATGAATCCATAGTTGTGTAACCTAAAAAAGTGATCTCTTGTTATCCCTCAGGTCTGCTTACCAATGCTCAATACATTGCTTTATTCAGTCAACAAATATTTATTAAATATCTGCTAGGCACTGTTCTAGGCCCTTGAGATATAGCAATCGCAAGAGACAAACTTCCTGACCTCATGGAACATATGTTCCACTGGGGAAAGGCAAACAATAAACATGCAAACAAATAATTTCAGACATTAATAAGTGCCATTAAGAAGAAAACAGCAACGTGGTTAGAGATTAACTGGGTGGCAGCCACTTAAGAGTGGGAAATTCCCTGGGAGGTCATAACATTTGAGATGAGACCTAAAAAAACACAAATGAGCCAGCCATGCAAAGAGCTGGGCAAAGAGCATTCCAGACAAAGGGAATAGCAAGAGCAACAGGTTTAAGATGGGAACAGGCCTGGCACATTTGAAGAACAAAAAAAGAAGCCAATGTGTCTGAATGGGAAAAATGGTAAAAGATGATGTCAGAGAAGTGAATATGGGGCTGGACCATGAAAGGTCTTGTAAGCTGCAATCAGGGTTAGAATGCTGTTCTGAGTGTCACTGGAAGCCACTGAATGATTTCAAGCAGGAGATTGATATGATCCCATTTTAAAAGGAACATTGTGGGTTCTAGATGGAGAATGGATTGGAGCGAGCAAGAGTAGAAGCAGGAAGACCAGTTAGGAAGGAGACTACTACAGTAGTCCAAGAGAGATGATGGTGGCCTGGACAAGGATGATAGCAGTGGAGACAGCAGTAAATGGATTCAGGTCCAGGTTACTGGATTCGATGAAGGAGTGGACATGTGTTTACAAGGAAGGGCAATGAAAGAAAGAAATTAAAGTTGATCCCTAACCTCCAAATAAGTATGCTGAGCAAAAGACACCAGACAAATAAGAGTAACATATCATAGGATTCCGTTTATGAAAAATGCAAACAATCTGGGTTTAGGACTAGATCTAAAAAAAGAAGAAAAAGCAAAGAAATCCAAAGTGATAAATAATCAGTGGTTGCCTGATAGGAGGGAACAGCAGGTGGGTCTGCGAAAGAGACAGAAGGAGGGCTGGCGCCTGTAATCCTAGCATTCTGGGAGGCCGAGGCGGGTGGATCGCTCAAGGTCAGGAATTCGAGACCAGCCTGAGCAAGAGTGAG